TAAAGTTAACATATCGCACCGTCATTTCAAACTCAACATTTGTTTCAAATTAAAAGCCCCTTATAACCTCGGCTGAGAGAATCCCTCCATTTTCTAAATAGGCTTTTATTCTGAAACATTTGTCAGAACTTCCTGTGGAAGATACAGTAGCATGATAGTTTACGTGTGGCGCTTCAAATGTAGCACCTGCCATCTGCTGATGCTTTTAGGTGACTACAACAACATGTCGGCTGGCACATGAACAGACACAGTTCTGGCAGTGACTCAAATAATAGTGAAAGTAATAAAAATAGGACAAGAATAACCCGATGACATCACACACGCCGTGAAAGACGACCGGGGATAATTGGTGAGTACCAGCGTGTAGTGTGTACCAGGCATAATGCAAGTCCTGAGTCTGAAATATGTCTGTCAGCGAGTCCTACTCCACCTATTTAGACTCCACCGTAGACAACGGCAGCATTTCTCCGACCACTTAGCGAGCCACAAGCTCCGTGGCTTCTTTCAGACTGATAGGTTTAACGTTATTTCCGTTATTAGAACCAAACGACAGTCATTGCTGTTTCGGAGCTGAAGGACCAGCGTTCTAAAAGTAACGGAAGTAACTGATGTCTTGTTTGAAAATGTACTTAAGTATTTGATTACTCAAACAGCAAACTAGCGCGTTAGGTTACTCATTACTGCAAAAAGTAATCAAAGTACTCTACAAAGTAACGCGTTATACCCAACTCTGATCATGACAACTGTACGGAGGGTGAATTTTTATATTACTCACCCGTTTGGCACAGTTAAGGGCGGGACCGCTTTGAGCAATGTCAGCAGATACTGTCCTTGGCTCTTACTCACATCCACCCCTCGCTCTTCCCCAGCTCCAACCTCTTGTGATTCCAAATATCCAAGATGACGACTGCTGAAATGCCAAACTCACGGCTTCAAAAAAAGGGAGTCCGCAAACCAATGGATGATGGGTGGGTGGGTGGTGGATGGGTGGCTACGTCCATTAATTTCACAGTATATGGTCACTACAAATGACAGATGTCACCTAAACACGTCACATATGAACTATCAGTAGACACTACAATTGACTGATGTACCCAAAACAGATGATTATGTCCGACGACTCCACAATTCAGCTTGTAGCAGCAATGTTACATAAGGCTATTGTTCCAAAATCATACATTGGGTACACTGAGTACATTTACTGATCATAGCACTCACATAAGAACATAGCACTAACGAAGCGCAAAATATTTTTTGAATATATGAAAGATTCTCTTAAAAAATTAGCAGAGGGAGGAGCATAGAAACAGCTGCTGCCGCATATCATGCACGGGGCACCCACACCCTTTGTCATGTTATGTTACCCTCAGATGGTCCTCTGGTTATTACAACCAGAGAGAAACCATCAAATTAAGTGTTTCTGTGGTAAGTAATGGGGCGAAAGTCCAAGTGGGCCGGGTGGCAGGGGTGGTAGATGTGTCCAACAACTACCAACTTTAGCCGAGGATGCCGGTGTTCGCTTCCCATAAGATTGTAAAGCTAAACCCTGTGCTTTTTTCATAAACCAAAACCCTGTGCATGTGTTGGCCAAACATAACCATGTGCGTGTATTTTTGAAGGAAAAAGACATCAATTAGCAGTGTTGTATAGATGTAGTGTGTTTATATTGAAAGAATTTGTATGCAAACTGTAAAACTGTGAAAACGGAGGTGTATTTTAAAAACAGACAATGTATGTAACAGGCTGAAGTTGACCTGGCTTCCTAGAACATCAACAACCAACATACCCAGTGTACCTTGCACGTCATATGTCGACGTGGAAAGTCCATGAACCATTCCAAACGTTGATATGTGACGAGGCCAGAGTAAGAATTTGTTGTCCAAGTCTCAAGTTATACATTATCAGTATTAGTTATCTGTCTATTCTAAGCAAGGCAATTGTCCTTCCCCCTGATTACCCAGTGTTCATGACCATAGGTAAACTGAGAGCTTCACCCTCATACTCAGCTCCCCCTTTAACACAATGGTCTGATACAGCTTCTGCATTTAGACAGACATCACACCAATCCACCTGATGATCTTGCATGATGGCAGCTTCCCCTCAGTGAGCAAGACCCTCAAACACTTGAATCTCTTTACTTCTAACCCAGAGTGAGTAAATCACCATTTCCAGCAGGGTAACATGGCCTCGGATTTGAGGATGATTATTATCATCCAAACCCTTCACAATCAGCAGCAAACCATCCCACATCATCTGCAATCTTGTTGTGTCCATCACACCAGACTTTTTCTACTCGGCAGCTGTGTTTACAGTAGATTCTGTGTAAAAGTTACAAACAAGATGACACAACACAACATTGGTACCACACCCTCTAAATTCCTGGTGAGAATATGATAATACAGTTCCATATATTATAGTACATCCACATTCTAAATGAGGTGCCTGGCCTTAATGTGATGTAATGAGGTCTGGTTCACATTTTTGTAGCAAGGACATTTTTAATATGGAGGTGGACAAATACACACGTTAAAATGGTGTACAGCTGCTCAAAACCTGCAGCATCAACCACATTATTCCCCACTGCACTGTCAAGTAGCACAGATCCACTCTATTGCTACTCAAGTATGTTGTATGTATCACATGGTAACTCACATATTAGCAAAAATATTTTTCCATGCACTGGTAAGTTATTGCACTTACACACTGCACAGAGAACACTCAACAACTGAGCAGCATTCAGTGAATTTTGAAGTTGCATCATAGGAAAAAAAAATGCTCTGCTATATCTAAATCTAGTTGTTAATGATATTCACTATGATAAACATATGTTTATGGCACACACAGATTAGCAGCAGTTGCAGTGACATTAGGGACTTTAAGCAGTTGCGGATTTTGCCACAGCTACGGCTCCCTGAAATAAATCTCTCCTGGCGCTGGTACCGTAGGCGTCAAATCCATAGTAGTCATTAAGCAGGTTGCTGCAGTAGCTGTCAGGTCGGAACAGCTGATCGATCACCACGTGATCAAGTGAGCTATCTCAGTTCGGTCAAAATGTCTTTCAAAAGGGCAAGAGAGGAGTTGCTCTATGCATTAGATGACAAGTTAATATCAGAGGAAGAGTTTTTGTTATTATATGATGTGAACAAATCTAAGAACTTAGAGTTACCATATCAACACTATATGCGCGTTTTCACCTGGATGAAATGGAGGAGGATGAATGTCTGGCGGAGTTCAGAGTGAGAAAGTGCGACCTTCCAGTGTTGGCAGATGTGCTGGGGATTCCAGACAAGTTCATCTGTGATCAGTGTCGTGGGAGGGATGGAGGGCTTATGTATGCTCCTAAAGAGGCTGGCATGAAGGAATGGAATAAAGACTAATGTGCATAGTATAGGGTATACTGAGAAATTATATACCGTATGCAATGCAAGGATGAGGGGAGAATATAGCCTATAGCAGAAAATATTTCACTATGGTTTTTATACAGTGAAATATACATAGTATCCTGCGTCTGTGGGAAAGGATCGCTGAAACATGTAATATAGTGTGTCACTGTCAATTGTAGAACACGTTTCATTTCAGAAATATAATGAAAACCATTTAACCACGCGTTGTAGCGACTACTTGAGATGCTTTGTTTTCTCGTAGTGAGTCAGCAGGCTACGGCAGGCACTACAGCTTAAGTCTCAATCAGCGGAGCGCAGATCTATTTCCGGGAGCCGTAGCCATGGCAAAATCCGCCGCTGCTTAAAGTCCCTATTGAGTGAGCAACTGCTACTTCTGCTGACAAGCTGCATCGTGACAGTTTTGCTGAAGGGATTTAAATCAAAGTGAAACTGACCAACAAATATCTATAAAGCAGCTTTGAAAGCTGTTTGTTTTTTGTTTAGGGTTTTTTTTTTTTTTTTTTTTGACAGGCATACAATGCTTGGTAAATCTGCTAAGCACCAGTGCTTGTGACATCTTTAACATGCAAGTGCAGAATGCTAATTGTAACACCAAACTGCATTGGTTGTTACTGACACATCCTGCTGGATCTTTTTCTCCCGCTTGTCTGAAGTCAGTGAAGGGATTGCAGATTGCAACCAGCTGAAACTTCCCCCGGTTGGAATTCTGTCAGTGTTCATTGTTCAGGAGGTTTGTACCAGGAGCTGACTTATCCTCCTCTTCAGAACAAACAGAACCGGTGATAACAACTGGTAAAAATACTTACTAAAGTAGTTTCACTTTACAAATCAATGTTTCTCTGATGCTGTTTGGCAAGTCAGAGGAGGGCCTTAATTTAAAGCTAAAAAATGTTTTACGTCTCCAGGCAGATGATTTTTAAAATAATATTGATCAAAAATGGCTCTTTTGATAGATATAAGGTTGCTGACCCCTGATCTAGATATTCAGGAGTTTTTTTTTTACTTGGATTCACATTATCCATAGAGGTCTCCTCCTCTCCAGAACAAACAGACTAGGTGATTTAAAGCCGTATAAACCCTAAATAATGTGGTTTAAAGATAACACAGTGTTTGCTTTATTTTGGTTCTGGGCTACTGTAAACATGGTGATGCAACATGGTGATCTCTGTGGAGGAGGACCTACTTCCTATGCTGATGTAAACAGCTCATTCTAAGGTGATGAAAACACAGTGATTCATTTTTCCAGGTGATTATACGCTGAAGAAAACATACTTTTAATATTATATTCAATTTCTGCCAACACACTGGACCTTGATAGTTTGGTTTGACAACACTGAGAGATGTGAATGTTGTGTCTCCCTGATAGGTAAACCTGAATATGGACGACGGTCGCTCTCTGGGCCTAATGATCAGAGGTGGTGCTGAGTATGGACTGGGGATCTACATCACTGGAGTGGACCCTGGATCTGCTGCAGATGCTGGTGCATTAAAGGTACCCCAACTCAATCTGTCTTGTTAGTATTGTTATATTACACCACAAAACCTGTCCCACATGTCAGTCAAATGAGAATTCTCCATCTTTTCTTTTCCTCTTCCTGTCGCTGCCCCTTGGCCAGGTCATCATTGTAAATAAAAATTAATTCAATTGACTTATCTAATGAAGTAAAGGTAAAATTGATGGCTTGATTGATGGCTGCCAAGAGTCATTACTGAGTTACTTTTAAGAATGCGTGATTCCAGTTTTCACTTGTAGCCATTATTGTCTCCACTATTATATTTGACAGGACATTTGTCATTCATTCATTCTAGTTGATTGAATGACATTTGTCATTCAGTCAACTAGAATCTTTCCATGGCCAATGCATGGGACTTATTCTGATTTGATTTAATTTTTTAATGTGTTGAATTTAGAAAAAGTCCAGTGTTATAGGTCCTTGGTTAGCGAAATTCACTTTACAGTTTTGGACTCAGCACAGACAACAAATATGTATGAAAGTTTTTCACACTGACTGTTGCTGATCAGAGTTGATAGTCGGAATCATTGGCAAAGTGATCAAGTGTGTGTACACATACAAGGTTTGACTTCTGGTTTAAGTTGCTCTCAATGTACTCAATGTAAATAAGGCTGAGACTCTGTGGTGCTGGACTGATTGCAAGCAGATCGAGCTGCAGAGTAAAGGTTATCAGGCCTCAAAAGGATCAGGCAGGTACACTGTAGGTACAATAACAGGTGACATGGTTCCAGGAAATATATAACAGAGAGATTACAGTTAAAAGAAAGCAGAGGCATAAGGCACAATCAATCAACGAAAAATCAGTCAATCCATAAATCTCTCAATTTATTTGTCACATGAAATCATGTAAGGTACAACTTAAGTGAAATTCTGTCTGTCCCTTCAATTTGTGCATTGCATTTCAGTTAGGGATGCACAACATTGGATTTTTTGTTCAATATGCAATATGCTAATATGTAACAAATCATTTGACTGATAACCGATACCAGTGTTGATATATCCACTTTTTCCCCATCTAAGTTAAGTGATTATCAAGTCTCTTCTGTAATGGAATAATATCATATTATGCATGCATACTCTTATTGTGATGGCCCACCAGCAGATGGAGACACAAAATGCAATGCTTTCAATGTATGCAATAATCATTCATTGTGCAAGTTAAGAAAAAGCCGATTCTAATAGTTCATTTTAAAGCAGATATCGGCCAATACCGATGACATGTTGATACTATCGTGCATCCCTAATTTAAGTCTTTTTTCCCTCCTTTACTGCTCCTCTTACATTGCAGGCTGCTGCTTTGTTATCCAAATTGTCTGTGTTTCCAGACTGCAGCCCTAAATTATAAACAGTAGTGCCTGTGTTTATAGCATCCTGGGTTTTTCTGGTGATCTATGGTTTCTGGTTGTGGAGTGATTTAACTGTAGTTTTAGGACCAGATTAAATCCACCACAGACTCAGTGAGTTCATTGAAGTTATTGGTGACGTTATCGGTGACGTGGTGGTGTCCTAAAACATGCTTCAGATTATGTAGTGCAGACTATAGGGCAGCCTCTGATTGGCCAGGCCATTTCCTGTCCTCCCTGTTTGTACAAAACGGCTGATTTGCAGCGAAAATTACTGAAACAAGTCTCATCACACTGATTGATTTTCCACTTTATAAAGACAAATCTTCGCAAATGCCAGTATGCCACAAACTGGCATCTACTTGTCAGACATGATATGGTTTCACATCTTTAAAAAAAAAAAAAAAAAAAAGAAATTCTTCTATTCATTTTGGTACTGTATGAAAATCAGCCAGCCTGAGATGTGGCAATCCATCACAATGAACATCACGTCTGCTTTCTTTGCTGTCAGAGCTTCATTACTGCTATTGTAAATGTTGACTGAGTTGCACTGCATCACTACAATCATACAAAATTGACAAAAATAAGACCAGACATTATGTTCAGTGTGATAGATTACCCACTCAAGAAAAGTTTCAAATTTATTTTCATACTAAGTGGACAAAAAATGTAGAAAAACACATTTCTGTAGAACACCCTGAAACATTAGCACTCTTTGGGGTGGTCTTTCAGGTCTTAGTGATGGATTAAATGAGTTGTTGACGTGAAGATTTATGGCTCCGTGCCAGCTGTCAACGCTAACATCTGCTACCTGATTCTGATGAACCTGTTAGCATTCCTGCCACCTGCCTCCTATTAGACTGCTAAACCTGTTGGCGTTGCTAACATCTGCCACCTGCCTTACAGCCGCAGTCAGGCAGCTGAATTCACCGCCATGACAGGTCTACAAAAATGCTTTATTAGCCATACTAAACCTCTGCTGTGTGTTTTCAGGTCAGCTTTCTGCCTCAACAAGCAGGTCACTCTAGCTCTGTGCTATTTTTCAAAGAGCCTTAGGCAAGGAGAACAGAAGCCAGTGTCTCCTACCTGTAAACAGTATGGCTGAAACCTCAATATGGCTTTCATGATATCACACTGTGTCCTACTTGGGGATAAAAATAAAACATCAGATTTATAGTTTGAGTCCTTACTTTTTCGAACCAATTGGGAAACCTGGAAAACTGTCTTAGACAGAGAGAAAGGAGATTAAAAAGGCAAAGCTTCAAAGGCATTCTACAAATTCAAATGTTGTCCCTTGAAAGATGCAGCGTGACATTTCTCAGGTTTTTTGACAGAGTGCGATGAAGAGGTACTTTTTTTTTACCATGGAGGATTGGCTGGTCATGCTGCATAACCAGTGCTTTTCACGTTTTAAAAGAAAATGTGAAAGTAGGAAAGAGGGAGAGAACAGAAAGGGTGAAAAAGAGGAAGCACAAAAAATAGTGGATGATTTTTCTTCACCTCTCCAAGTCACATAGATGTGTCTCCATTCACTGGTAGTCTGCAGCCATTTGTTGTCTGTGGAAGGGAGCCGCTGCCCATCTTTACAGTGTGTGTGTGTGTGTGTGTGTGTGTGTGTGTGTGGAGGTCTGTCTATATCACATTGAGTTATCCTGCCATTACACTGGCAGCAGCGGGCAGAGAAGGAGGCTGTATATCCTGTCCTGGAAAAACCATCTCTCTTTACTCTGTCAGTGCTGTGGCAGGAAGATGGAGGGTTGTAAAGAGAAACTGTTGCAGGTGATCATCACAAAGCAAATCAAATTCATTAGTTTGATAATACTTAGCTTACTTTTAAGAGTAATATCAAGTCATGCCCTAATTATTTCCTTATTTTCTTACCCAGGTTATTTGCTATAGACTGTTTATTTCCAACAGTGTCTGACACCTCCTTTCCTTCAGCAGAACTTTGTGAAACCAACAATCAGAGAATATTGCATACTTAATGCAGTGATTAACCAGGTTTGCGAAGGTATGAAAGTAGGTTTAGGTGAGTTAAATCTTCTCTTTCAAGGTTTTTTTATTTTTCGTTTTGCACAGAACTAGATCAGAGACTTAGAGTGGGTACAACTGAGTGCAACATCATATATTTCTTTGAGGGGCCAGGCATTTTGACCCACCTTCGAACATGGCCAGTTGGAGCACTTTTGTCTTTAAATGTGGTTTGCTTGAAACATGGTAGAATAATAAGGATGGTGATATTGGTTGGACATTAAGCCAATTAGCCGATGCTGCTCGGGCCAGATGCTGTGAAAAATCTTGTGGAAATGAATGGTCCCCACAGGATGATTCTGAGGCCCAGTCTACATGTATACAGATATTTTAGAAAATGGATATATTCACCCTCAGTTTTAAAAGAAATTCTGTCCTCTCAACCCTCATTTTACACAATATCTTTGTCCACACTAGAATGCAAAAACAACTCCAAATGCTCGTGTGGCCAGTAGATGGTAATAACGGCCATGTCAACAATATGTAAAATACCCGAAAGGACGATTCGACTGGGTCAGATCTTGAACCATTGTTTCAGGTGAGCGTTAAACTGTGGACACTAAGGTGGACCAAATAAAATTGGGCACAGCAAACGCCTTTGTTAATCCCATGGATGTATAGAGAGAACTAGATACAATGTTAAAGCCAGGTCTCTGTTCATTCCTATAAAAGTTGCTTAGCGGCACATTAGCTAAAAAAGTTTTACTGGGGCATATAAAATTACAGATGATCGGCACTTCTTCCGCACTGTGTGCCCCATAGAGCAAGTGCACTAGAGACCTCTACTGGCTGAGCCTGCTACCTTATGGTTAAGCGATCTACTGACTTGGATGGGAATAAAATGATTTAATCGTACAATTTAATCTAGTCTTTCCAAATGCTATCAGACCGAATGGGGAAAATCCTGGTAGTAAAATGATTAATTCACAGGGGTTGTGACTCTCAAAAAATGTATCCACTGATCTTCTCTTTTGCCATGTAATTGTTGAAGAAATCATTCAATTCTTATCCAGAAGTTTGTATAATATCTTAAAACAGATTAATTAGCATTGTAAATACAGTTTAACTTCACCATATTGTTTTTATCTGGTTCTTTGAGGAATAGAATTCCAGATTAAATTACTTGTTCATATTTACAGTTTTGCTGTTAGAAAGTTGAGAGGAGCAGTATACCCTTGTACAAAGTTTGTAATTGTGATGTTAATATTCCTGGACTCAGCATTGCTGGGATGCTAGCATCCATCATTGCAGCTATGAATAGGTCTAGCTGAAAGTCATATTACTCATTTATATTTGCGGAAGACAGTGACACTTGGTGTTGCCCATTCATTACTTTAAGAGAGCAAAACGCTCAGCAATATCCATTAGAAAGTGATATAAATCTGCTTTAAATCCATTCAATTAGAAGCTGTTTTCTAACCTTGAATTAGTTGCTTTGACACCAGATTGGAAACATGAAGAGGAACAAATTTAATTCAGTGTTTGTATTGTTGAATACTAATTTGCTTGCTGATCAATCTTTTTTTACTCTGTATGAATATTTTATTTCAACACTGGTTGAATTTTGCCTCCCGGGACATATGTCCTTTAGTGATGACGTCTAT